TCTTTCTGCTCAAGAAGTTGGTTTGCCTTGAATTTTCCATTTCCTTTCATGGTGTCTTTCATCGGCTCTGGTCTCCATGTCCAGGTAAGCTTATTAGTAGGTGATTCATTGTCACCACTTTCCTTTATCATGACCGAAGTTTGAGCGTTAACCTTTGCAGTATTGAAAACTTCTTTACTACAATTGTCCAGAATGGTCACAGACCAAGCAGGCACAAAGTACTTGTCGCTACCATCTTGTAACTCTACGTATGCATCTTGCTGTTCATTGGCATTGCTCAAGAAGCAAAATCTCCCTCCAGTGGCGTTGCTAGTGTATGTGGTCAGTGTAACTGAATTTCCAAGATCCCTGTCAGTTCTTGTGCTGTCAGTGAGAAACTTCTCCCCCAATTTTATTGCAGCATGAAGCTGCTTAAGATGCCCCCATTTTGGTTGATTTAAGTTTCCATACTCATCAATTGGTGCATCGTAATCATAAGATGTTGTAATATATGGACCACCCGCGCTTCGTCCAAAGTTTGTCCCTCCATGGTACATGTAATAATTATTGAGCACCCCACCATTCTGGAAAAAGCGAGCCACTGAGTAAGCAACATCTTCAGCAGTCCTGTGCGGATTCCTTTCACCCCATTTTTGAAACCATCCAATCCAATTTTCGGTCCACATTTTTGGGCTTTTAGGGTTATTGGGTTTAAAGGAATCACAGTAGTATCCATTGCATGTATTGATTATACCCTCGGGAGCATCACTTTGCTGGCACATGAACCAGGGAACACCGATGTTTTGGGCTAGAGCCATTTCAGCACACCATTTCACATATGCCTTCCCTGCATCTCCATAACCCCACATGATATTTCCATACTCATTCTCAATCTGTGCAAGAATAATGGGTCCTCCTTGTGATGCAAAGAGCTTAGCCTCTTTAGCCATGTTAACAATTTTTGAAGTGAAGATCTGCATTTCATTCTTGAAGACTTGGTTATCAGTTCTCAATTCAATCCCCGGCATTTTGTGGAGCCACATTGGGAAGCCTCCATAGTTCCACTCTGCACAAACATAAGGGCCAATCCGCAGAATGGCATATAGTCCTGCTTCTTGGATCAACTTGAAAAATTTGACGAAATCCAAGTTTCCTGAGAAGTCATACTTTCGTCGAACAGGTTCATGGCGATCCCAAAATACATAAGTCTCAATGGCATCAAGGCCTCCATCCTTGGCCTTTTGGATAATGTCAGGCCACATTTCCACTGTGCTTCGTGGATAGTGAACTGATCCAGAGAAAATGATGCGTCTTTCTCCATTGATGATGATAGATTTTTCATCATGCGATACCTCTATGGCAGAGCATAAGCCTAAAAAGGAAATGATGAAGATGATGATCTTGTCCCACGTCGATGAAGAAGCCATTGTAAGGTATTCCTCAGCTTTGTGATTCCTTCCTGAACATACGATGGGGTTTATATATGAGTAAAAACCTTAAGGTGTCAAACATGGCAAATCTCGAGATTTGTTAGTATGGATGTTTAGATTCTCTTTTATTAGAAAAAATTATAGATAAGCAGTCTTAATATAGAAACAAATATTGATGCATTGAACTTTAACATAAGTCATGATCTGCTGTAACTTCTAAAACAAACAAATAATGTCGTTAGGTACAAAATATACCTTAAGTTAGAAACACTACATTGATTGATTCCCGAAATTTTTGTTATTTTGGATAGAGTATTATTATTGGAGAACGAAAAATGAGCATCAAGACGCGTGTTGGTTTTGGCAAGCACTTAACTCGCTGTAACGTTCTTTCCGTTGGGAAATTTCTTGCATACCCGGCATTTTATCTCCATATATTTTCTTCAAAAAGGTAATTTAAGGAAAGCATGGAGATGAGAATTGTAATTAATTTCTTTAAAGTATCTTCATCTTGAAATTACACATGACATATTTGTTATGAATTTTAAATAGGAGACGCAAAAGACAGAGGGAAAGACCAACTCCATTCGTGGGATAATTTGGAATTTAACGATGTGTTTTTAGTTACATAGCCAAATTTAACAGTATTAATATTAAGGGTTTAAAAATACACTTTATCAACTTAAGGGAGTGAATTGAAACTTGATGTAAATTTAAAAGATTAATCATATATATTAACCATAGAATTCTTGGTATTATAGTATTATAATAAATTTTAATAGGGTTTTTTTTTGTGCCAAAACTTAAAGAATTAATTTATTTGCTCGATATTCTGAGACCTTCATAAAAAAAAATATGTAGTGTTTAGTGTACTTTGACTAATAATATCTTCATTTTTGCACCTTCATCTTTTTTCTTTTTTTCTTTTTTGCGTTAAGTGTATTTTGGTATTTTCATAACATTAGCGTGGGTGGGTCTCAATGTAAAAAATAATAATTGTTTGGTAAATTTAATCGTTACGTTATTTTTGCTCTAGTTTTGCTAGTTTATAAGTACTTTTACCCTTTCGAAAAGCTTATGATGCTGGATGTATTTTGGAAAAAAGTTCATGAATATTTTGTATTTATTCTTTTATCTTTTATCTTAGAAGATGTACCCATATCACGACATTTTTTTTACATCACATACTAATATGCAAAATTATATTCTTTTCAATTTTTTATGGACACAATATCATGAATTGAAAAGATAGGAATGAAAAATTTCCACAATACGACATTTTTTTACTTTTTTTTTAATCTTAGAATTGAAAGGAAGTGAATGAAAATTTTTTGGCTAAGAGCCTGTTTCGTATGCATTGGAATTGAAAATGTATTGATGAAAAATATTATGTTTCGTGGGATGAAAATAAATTGAAAAATTGAGCTACTTTATTATATTACTCTTAATGAAATAATATAATATTATTAAAGGAAAATACTTACATCAAGTTCTTTATGTCCATTATATCAAGTTCTCTAATCATATATGGCCATACGTCATATTTTTGAAATATTATCATTAAACTATAAATTTATATGAAAAAATAAGACACATGTCCATGAGTGACAGTATTACCTATTATTAAATAAAAAAATTGCTTTTTAACCTTACACAACAATAATATTATTGAAAAAATTCAATAAATTATAATTCAAATAAACGACTATGAATGTTTAATATAAATATAAAAACCACTATAGATATTAAATGATTACACAATAATTAAATAAAAAATTAAATAATTAAGTATAAATAAAACATATTAAAAAAATAGTCAATTTAAAGAAATATAAATTAGGCAAATGGCATATCACTGAAAAGTTTGATGAGCCTATTATCTAATGCAACAAAACCCATTTATTTATTTTTTTTTAATTTTTAAAGTTATGTTTGTCGAAATTTAAACTTTGATATGATAAAAAAAGCAAGCAAATTTGAATTTGATGCAACAAATTCGAATTTTTTGCAGAGTTGCAGTAAAATGTTCATCAAATTCAAATTTGCTCCATCAATTTTAAATTTCCTGCACTATATTCCAACTTTAGCGCAAAATTCCAATTCTGCTGCACTCTATTATGCTTTATGCCCCGAAGAGAGTAAATGACTATGCCTAAATCACGGAACTCTTACCCTGTTGAGAGATCCAAATACTCAGACTTCTGTTCTTGTTGGCGATAAATCTGAACACATTTGTAAAGCTTTCTGTGGTGAAACATCTTTTCCTACATATATATCAAACTGTTTCTGAAAAGCCAGCTGGTATAAAAGATGATAAACACTAATCTTCTCTGTCACTCCGCGATTATGATATGCCTTACTTATTTTGTTAACTTTTCACCATGACCGAAATATACAAGCATGGTTTGGGAACGCGAATTGGTAGCTGGCACGAAAATAGGAAATTCAGAAAAGAGCAGGTGAAGATGCTAGGACTGATTAAGGGCCTATTTGTTTTTATTTTTTGTTTTCTTATTCTTCAAAAAATTTTATAAATTTTTTTTTAGAACAAATTTTGAAAACAACGACACAAAGAATTTGCTTGGATAATAATTTTAAAAAATCATGTTTTGAAAAAAAACTATAAAAAAACCATATTTGATAGGTAATAGTTGTCGTTACTAATGATAAGGGTGGATAATAGATGAGAAAGAAAAAGATTTTTCAAAATATTCAAAACAAAAAATAAAAAACACAAAAACAAAAACAAGAAAACATTTAAAAGTTATTTGGGTTTTTTGGTTTTTAAAAACATGTTACTGTTTTTTGTTTTTCAAAACAATCAACTAATAACAATTTATCAAACAAGTTTTTTGGTTTTTAAAAATAAAAAAGTGTTTTCCAAAAAAGAAACCAAACAAGCCCTAAATTTCTTGCATTATGTAAAACGTTGCCTATTGTCTGTAAAGCCTACACTTGCAAAAGAGTCTTGGTCCTCTCAGCTTCTTGCTTTTTAATCAACATTTAAGGGGCAAATGGGTCATTGGTGATTTGAGGCTGGTGACTAAAAATTGGTTCCTATTGATTTTGGCGGGAGCCCCATTTTTATAGGTTTAAAGGAAAATCAACCTCCATTCAAAAATTTGTTTTCCACCACTTTTTGAACCAAATGCCCTTCGCAGTAGGAATTCTTGATTTTCCATCTCCATCGTAAGATTTTCCTCAAACCAAACAGCCCGTAGTTATATCTACCCTGTCCACCTTTCTCTCCTATATACATTATGAAACTAACTTTGATTTGTCTTTATGTTTTTCACTTTGCATCTACTCACTCTGATCTCAAGTATATGAGTTAGATAGCTAGTTTACAAAAGTTAAAAAAATCAATTAAGTTAATTATTTGTGATATTTGTTTAAAATGCCCCATTTAATCATTTGCACTGGAAACTTTTCTAATTGATGAAACCCCCTTTTAGCATCTACAATTAATAAGACTGTTTGAGGAAAAAAATTATAAATTTATGAAATAAAGTGAATTCTTTTGCTACAAATTAACAAATTGAGTATAGGAACTAATACTCTTATAATTGAGGAAACTATAAGGACACAGTAAAAACGGGAAAAACTTCAAGGGTTTAACTAAGAATGAGACAATATTATAGAGACTTGCGTATTGACTTTTCCATTACAATATAACATTTATTCCAGTTATGACCTTTTTACAGCACCTAGCATTTGGGAGAATTCTATGTACTTGTATAGATCAAAACAATTGAGATTCTAGCGTATCAATTCTTGATAGAGAAATACGGCCACAACTACTACTTTCCCGATTAGAGCTCATGGCTTCAGGTGTTTGGTCCCTGCATTGGAAGCAATCCAGGATGAGATAACATCCACAAGATGGTCCATTTCCTTTGATACCTGAGCACGAAGGATTCTTGAATCCATGCCTAAGGTGTTTCCTACTTCTTTAGCAACTGTCTCCCATGGCGTTCCTGAGCTCAGACTCGCCAAAAGCTCACTTCCACGGTTAACTGCATCAGCCATTGCTGGCGGAACATCGGGAAGGGCCTGCGGGATAGACGGCAATGTTTGATGATGTTAGCCTTATTCATAGGATTAGTTGCTTGGTCTCAATAACTTTTTATCAATTTTAGGATAGTTCTAAGTAAAACTAGAGTGGTCCATGCATTTATAAGAAGCCCAACTGTGGATACCTTTATACTCCCTCTAATCCTAAATATAAAAACTAGATAGATAATTAAAGGTTTTTTTTTTAATAGGCAGATAACTAAAGTTCATTATTTATTTTTAAAAAAAAAAAAACATACATGTCGGTTCCTCTGAAATACCTCTTTAACTACTTGTATTGGAAACTAGCCTATTGATAGAAATCCCCCTTTAATATGTCCAATAATAGTAGTTTAGGAAAAAGATTATAAATTTAAAAGACAAGGTGAACTAATGTCTGATATTTAGAACCAAAACCACCCCTTCAACTAGCTCTTAAATTTAGAATCAAGGGAGCATATATATATTTTTCATTATTAAATTATAATATATTTTTATATTTAAATACAACACAAAAAGTAGTAAGAAGTACAATAACTTTTATCCTCCCTTCCACATTTTATATCCTTGCCATCAATTTTCTTCTTTCAAGTAAACACTATCTACTTGTTATGTAATTTTATTGAAGGTGGTTAGCATGTTAACCTCCTCATTAGTGTTGTGGAGGTGGTTAGCACCCTCCGTATTTTTCTGATGGACAAAAAGATCATTTCTTTTTCACCAAGAGACAAAGTACGGACAGTGGAAATCAACTCGTTTGCTTATAAAAACAATCAACGCACAAGGAAATGACCTATGCCAACTAGATGCATATTTAGAGGGAAATGACCTAAACAAATAACCACATACCTTTTCTCTTCTAGTGAATATAGGATAGGAGGACTTATTGGCCCAAAGTATAAATGTCAAGGCTGCTATTCTCCACAAAACTAGTGAGGACTGAGGATGTTAACGATCTTTCTTTCAAAAAGCCCATGTCATGATAATAAAGTAATCCTACTTCCAATGAGGAAGACTCTATTGTGTTCCCTAACGGGTAAGACTTTCAGTATGGTCCTTCACAGATCATTTCTTTCAATTAAGTTTCTCAATAACTGGAAAAACTACCATCTTTCCCTCCATGTTCGATCCAATTTTCATAGAAATTTAAAGCCAAACCAAACAACTTGTTGTGTTAGACATCACTTGCACCCTATTACCTAGGCGAGTTTTGCCAGATAATAACGTCCAAGTAAACAAACTATTACGTTTGGCGATAAATTTTGGGTAAGGATGAGATGAAAGGGCAATATTACAAGCACCTTATTATTCAGAAACTAAGTCAAAGGAAATAATCTACAGGCAAATAGGGTTTGCACTACTAACTGACCACCCATGGAAAAGCCATTATGTTATTAGTTTCCACTTCAATGCAAATTATTCATACCTGTTGCAATGGAAGACCATGATCTCCAGGCAACTTGCGTATTGACATATCAAGGTCTGAACTAATTGCTGCCTCTGAACCTAGCACTCGTGCTAGAGTTGGAGTCTCATCTATTAAATCATCGTTGAACTTTATGAGAAGATTTCTTGATACGCCATAGTAAGATCTTATCTGAACAATTAAGAAATGGGGGTAATTAAAATTGAACCTGGCAAGATATTCATTACAATGAGTGGAAACATAAGATATAAAAGAAAGTTAATCAAGAAATTTGTTAGGGAGGTGGTATTTTGACCTGTACTAAGGCAACAACTTAAGTTTAGCATTTTATATACCATTTCAGATACATTTCACAAATTTCCAATATCAGCAGCATCTTTGTAGGATCAAATAACAACCTTCTACCTACCTCGTTGTCTCAAAATAAATATAACAATAAATTGAAAGAGATCAAATTCATTGCATGATTATATCATCAATATCAAGGATATAAGCCAAAGAAGGAATTTATCTGTTATCTTTTACAATGTGAACATACAAACCAAATTTGGTGCACGATGATTTTAAAAAAAAGTAGTTTTAACATTTATATTTAATTAAAAAGGGAATTTATTGATCAACCAAAAAAAGAAAGAAAGAAAGGGAATGTATTCAAGATGCAATTATTTTAAAAATATAAATAAAATAAATGACATATGATTGGAACCTAAATCATTGAATGGTGAGAGGTTATGCATTAAAACAGAAATGCGCGCATACAATTCGACGTGTCTCCTCTGGCTTTGGAGTAAAATCTTCTCTTCCCTTGGCCAAATCCATGTACAAGGGTGGCAGCTGCTCAACTAGGGGTAGAACCTGCTTCATAATGGAAGGGCTAACATTTTCTAATTGTTTCAAAGTCATCTCTGCCTGCAAGTTTTTTACCCATCTAAATTAGTCATCAAGAAACAACCAAAGCTGTACACAAGAGTGCTTTCAGGTGTCTATAGACTGCATATGTCCTACAAATATAAAATACCAAGAATTAAGAAGGATATAACTAGTAAAATAAAGATTTCTGAAATATTATTTCTATCATTTTAATGTCATACCAATTCGTGCCATTAAAAGCTATCATGTAAGTAGGCGGTTAGAACTGACATTTGACAAAGCATGGGATTCTCATCATGGAATCATAACTAACGAATATAAAACAACTAAACTGCAAGCACTGAACATTGAATTTTTCTTGAGAAAGCATTGAATTCTGGAAAAACATGTTAAGATAGTCATATCTGTCAAAACTAAAGAGATATCATGACACAAACACGAGCTTTCAATACTCTAGATACATCAATAATAAAAGATATAAGTAGAGATACTGACCCCTGCACGTATTGTTGGTGATGAAATAATGTCTGATAGAAGTGGACCGATGCTTTGGGCCATTGGTACCATAACTGGAGAGAAGAAAGGAACAGCTGAACTTGCTTGCTGTACATGAAGCATAACTTAGCCAATCATGATTCATGGAGACAGGAAATTGTAGAATATAACATACTGAGGAACACTGTGTCAGACATTACATATGTAAATGACTTGCTGTTTGAAACAGGAAGTATAAAACTATCAGAAATGTTGGATTTCTACATAAGATGTTATTCTCTTGTTTTTTTTTTTTTTAAAAAACCACTTCTTTATGATAATGGTCAATCTTTTAGCCTATGGATTTAGCAATGTCATCAAGGGATCAATGGAATACCTTGTTGTTGAAAGCCATTAAAACATTACCACATCTTTGCACGGCATATCTTGATCCTGATACAAATAACAATTTAGTGACTTGCTACAAATCAAATCAGTCAACTATTAACAAGCACGCGTAGCCAAAGAACATTTATATACCAATTAGAAGGTGGACAACTGAACCCAAAGAATGGCCAACACCGAAAGTAGGAAGGTCTTGTATCTGAATCAATCACCATATTTGACTTGTTCTTACTAAAGATAGATTTAAAACACAGAGATACTATCCTAAGAGCATAGGTTAGAGCATACTGTTTCTTGCAGCATGCGATAGCACCTATCAAATTTGAACTGCACTTCATCTGCAATATGGAAGTGGTCAAATCCGCTTGCATATGGTGTTGCAATAATCAATACGCCCCTAGTAACCAAAGGGATTAGATTATTAGTTTTATTAGTTGACTAATTAGTGGAGGATGAACGACATATGCTTGGTATAGAAAAGTCTAGAATATAATTTGGTTTATTATGTTTTGCGCTAGTACTATCATTTGGTGAAGAACAGTAATAAAATAATAATGAACTCAAAGGACGCATTCAAACTTCCAGAATTTCAAGTTTAAGTCTTATAAAATAGTTGAAAAAGGAAAATATAACAATACATAGAATTTTCTGAAAAAATTGGCAAAACCAACATGTAAATCTACCGCTTCAATAATAACCGGCTTGTTGCATGACAAATTTGTTGGACAATTGGTATCAGAAAATATGGTCTTACTTTTCTGAGAGGCGTTCCAGAAACCAGCGGTAGGTAAGTTGAGGGGCAGCGCCCACAAATATGCCTCCAACAAAATGGACAACAAACTTGGGTTTTGTGCTTCTAGGTTGGAGGACCCAGGCTCCCTGATATTATTCAATGAGGATGTAATAAGTTCACTGAAAACACGTCTAACAGAAGAAATTAAAACAAGAAAGTTGCCTCTCTCAATGAAAGGCTGCTGGTTTTGGAATTTTAGGAATAAAGTTTTTCCTCTCCTCTGCTCTATGCTGTTTGGGAAGGTCACCACCTAAAGACTCCCTATTAGCAAGAAAAAGTTGATCTGACATCATTAGCCAATGACATAATTTGATGACAGGAAATTCATATTCCCAATCAAACTTGCAAGCAAAAATCCAACGGCAAATTCTGTGAATTTTGGCTCAAATCCATAGTGATCATGTTTATCCGTAGGTCATACATGTGGACTCCTACAGTGTATGCCTTTGCTCTCAAATTCTGGTTATTTCTCTTTGCCGAGACCCAAAGCCATTGAATATTAAAGGCCCGTGTGGAATAGCTTGTAAGTAATCGGAATACGAAACATGTACGTGACATGAGTTTACGTGAAAAATACTTATAAATATTTTTGAACACCGACGGGCCCTAATTAATATTTAGGTTGGCGTTCTGATTGACCCTTCATATAAAGCCTTCATATTGAAACTCGATATTTATTAGCATTTATACTTAGTCGATGTATCTCTCCAACAGGAGCTTTTTACTTACCATACTGCTCAGATAAATAACAAAATTTTTCCCTAAATTATTACTAGTAATATAAAATAATTCAACGAAATGCACAACATGGAATACGCATAAAATGAATCAGATCACACCTCAACTTCGCTCCAGTCTTTAGGTACCCACCAGCCATCCTGCGATTGTCTAACAGTTTCTGTGAGTATCCTGCAAATAAATAAGAAAACAATTAGCAGCGAATAGCAGTTTGTCATAGAAGAGTAGACAGCTTACTTAAATAATGATATTGTAATACACCCACACATTATATCCAAACACAACGTCAACAAGTCCCATACAAGTGTTCCTACTCGAGTAATTAGCAGAAAAAACAATGATCGATGACGACAATTAGGCACAGAAAAGATATAATTACATTTAAAAGAAAATAGAAAATGAAGCAAAGCAATACCTCTCAATTTGAGAATAAACTTGGAGTCCAGTCGATTCAGGTGGTTTATCGCCGTAATTATTATTATTATTATAGTTGCAATAGATAGTGGAGCGAAGACGACGATTCTTATATCGAAGTACCGGGCGATGGCGCGAGTAGGTAAAGGAGGCACTGTGAAATTTTGAGGATAGCTTGTGCGAATCCGCCTCATCGAATTTTAGAAGAGAACCATAAGTCCATACGCCAGTGGCCATACCTATAAGCTTCGTCGTTCCAGAGTTTGGTCAGAGTCAGAGGTGAGCTCCCCGCGCATGTCAGAGAAGAAGACCGCCTGTTGGCTTTTGTTTGGTTTCAATGAATTTAAAGGAAAAAAAAAAAATTTTTTTACCAGCCAATGAATTTAGAATGGGAAAATAACACATAAAGAAAGTTGAAATTATGAAACGCCAAAATCGGAAGCTAAGCAAATGTATTACCAGATAGGGAAGTGTTGCCTGATTTGGGATTATGCAAATGTTGGGCAATTACTAAAAAATCCTTCTGCCCCGTCAGAGTTTGAAAGCACAGAGAGAGAGGCGTGAATTGCGACTCGTGCTTCCTGGTTTCTCACTTCCACCATCTCCGTTGCTGCCCTAAAAACGCCAGCAAGTTGGATAGTTGATGACCCCAAAATAGTGTGTGTGTAAGAGAGCAGAGGAGTTCAAAGTGGAAGGGTGTGCTGTTTGAAGGGCGAACGTGGTCGCGTCTGTGTGATTGTGTGGAAAGACGAAGGGTGGCGCACGATGATTCACCATTGCAGTTAACAAGCATCAGCGGCATTTCATTGAGGTAAGTTTAGGCATTTAAGTTTCGTGCTGTGGTCGATGTTTTTGGGTGAGTGGGGGAAGCAATGATTAGGCAATATTTAGATATGACGCGATGAAGTTTGTGAATGACAGGAACAGTGATTAAGGGTTTATACTGAGTCTGTGTGGCATGCTATTTGTTTATTATAACGAAGTTGAGAACTATGAGGTTAGGGAAAAATGGGTTTTCAAATCAGTAGGAAAATTATTTGATTGAGTGGAAAGATTATATGAAAGAACTGGAAATGACAATAACATACTGGTAAATGACTATGAAGGAACCTGAAATGACCATATGCATAGTAATGACCTTGCTGTCTGATTGACTGGAAAGATTATATGAACGAAGTGGAAATGACAATAACATACTGGTAAATGACTATGGAGGAACATGAAATGACCATATGCATAGTAATGGCCTTACTGTCAGTCTGTAATGGCCATATTGGTAATGACAATAAATTAATTGGAAACGACCATATTCATAGTAGCATCCTTACTGTCAGTCTGTAATGGCCACATTGGTAATGACAATAAATTAATTGGAAACGACCATATTCATAGTAGCATCCTTATTGTCAATCTGTAATGGCCATATTGTAAATGACAATAAAGGAATTGGAAATGACCATAACATACCCAGAAAGAACTAGATATTTAGTATATGTATAACAATTATGACTTAATGATTGTACATTGATGACTTTGCAAAACTATACGAGATGGTGTTGGAAGAAGGGGAAGAGTTTACAAGCAAAGGAGTACACATTGGGCTTGTGTTGTTCAGAAGGGAATATATGGCAAAACGAGGGGAGAAGTGTAAAAATGCAAGAGAAGAAAAAATTGAAGTGGGGAAGGCATGGAGGGCCCTGAGTGAGGAAGAGAAAGATAGGTATAATGAGAGGATAAAGAAAATGAAGCCAGAGAAAGGTGAGAAGAAGAAGTACAATGTTCCCTTGTACACCCGGTGCTCATTGCCCGGATTTCTATCATTGGCTGAGTATGTGAAGAAGAACAGGCGGTTAAGGCAGAAAGTTGAGAGGATGGGATTTGGGAACTTGCTTAATATGAATGTGAAGCAACTTCCACGTGATCTACTTGTGTCATTGTTGAGATGCTATGACCCACCAATGCATTTTTTGACCATTAGGGGGCAAGGACAGGTAATTGAAGCAAAAGATGCTCATGAGTTTCTAGGTGTACCTGACTGTGAGGAGGAAGTGAAATTTGATGTTAGTGAGGATGACCCGGAATACAAGAGGTTAAAGGATACTTATTGGAAGGTTCCATTTACCCAAATATTGAAGAGGATATTATCTCGGAAAGAAAGCTACAATTTTGAGTTCCTATTTATGCTTTATACAATTGGAACTTTTTTATGTCCTGGGTCAAGCAAAACTGTACATATAAGTTTGTTGAAAGTGATGAGTCACACAATGGATGGGTTTGGAAAATATGATTGGTTAATATACATAATCAAGAACCTGTGGAAGGAAATGAGAGACTTTGTGAAGATGACAAAGAAAAAGAAGAAAGGAACTTGCAATGTTGGAGGGTGTCTTTATTTGCTGTTGGTAAGTCAATATTTTTCTTATGGTTCACTATATTTTTGTTTTATGTTATTGCTGCAGAAGTGTGACCTATCTTTATTTGGTTTTGTAATTGTATTTTGCTGAGCGTTTCCTGCTGGGATTGTCTGTTGACCGGGGTTCAACAAGCCCCATTGAATATTGGACAGAGGAGAAGATAAGGGAGAGGGTGGAGAAAGAGAGAGGTAGCAGCATGGGAATATTGCATGTAAGCAGTGGCAGTGAGGTTTACTCAGCAGGACATGAGGACAGTCCAATTCTGCAGTCTTTAGATCCGATATATGGGAATTTCGAAAATATATGTGACTTGAGTTTAAGTAAGTCTATTAGCAAGGTTGATACTTGAGATAACAAGACTTATTTACAAATGACCAGTGAGATACTGGCATTCGATAACAGTGATCAATTTTTTTGATATCTTTATTTACTGTGTATGCATGTGTTGAAGGAGTTGAGGGCTCGTTTTGTTAAGAAGCTTGAAGAAAGTTAGAGGACATTAATGAAGGCTCTTGATGATGAGCTACTCAAAGTGCAGATTAGATTGAATGCCAAAGTTAAGGGGATGGGGATGGGGAATGAGAATGCCACTGCTAAAGAAGGGGTTGAAACAGTTGGTGATGCAGGTGGTAACAATGCTGAAGAAGCAAATGATGTTGATCGAGTGGTGGAGGAGATTGCAAGAGAGGTTGCAGCGGGAAGCGGAAATGAGGAACTTGATGAGGATGAAACCAGCAAAGGAGATGATGAGAAGGATGAGGATGAGGATGAAGAAGAACATGACCTTTATGACAGGTAAGTCAGTGATGATTACATGGTTGAGGAGGTGGAAGATGAGGGTGACCGTGATGGCCATGGAGGTGATGATGACGACGATGAGGATGAGGAGGAAGATGACCATGATGACAGGGAAGGAGGTCATGTGGTTGATGAGGAGGAAGATGACAATGATGACATGGAAGTTAGTCATGATTATGTGGTTGAAGAGACGGAAGATGATGATAAGGAGGTTCGGCATTCAGATGATGAGGGTGAGGAAGATACACATGTACTGACAATGACCTCTACCAATGTTCCTTTGCTGTTGGATCGTGAATGGGTGAGCAGTGACAGTGGGGAGGAAGGAGGGCCTGAAAAATCGACTGAGCTTAGGAGGTCAACAAGGGCAAAGAGTTCCACAATTAAATCTCTGTAGATAGAGTTCAAGGTAGCTCCGAGGACGAAGAGGCCAAAGGAGGAAAGGGACATTTTTTTCACTTTAATATCCGTAGACCCAAGGGAGAGGAAGAAGGGAACATGTAAGTATATCCCTGGCTAGCCTTTTAGTTTTAAATGACACGGTGTGTACTGACAATGACAGCAATAGAATTGAAAATGACAATAAACTACATGGGGATGACAAGTGATGATGTCCCCAACACCATACTTTCTGTCACTGATATCTGACAATGTTTGCAGGACTGTCATCAAAATGTTTGATGAAGATATAGACCGACAACAGCTGTTTTTCCTGGGTGGAGTGAACAGAGTAAATAACAAGGTATTTTAGAATGCTCTCTCTTTGTACCCATGCTTATGTTTGATAATATTTAGTGAGATTATTGTATCAGAATGACATTTTCACTTGTCTTCTGTAGGTGCTTAATTTGGTGTGCAAGGCAGTGATGGAGGACATGAAGGCAGAGTTGGGGTCAGGGAAGAGGCAAAATTTCGATGTGGATTTCATGGTGAGGTTGCATAATTCTGAATGCAAATACCAATGATAGCAATTGAATTGGAAATGACTTGTTTTCTGTTAATAGATTAACAATTTCATGTCATACAGAACATGATGGCACATGATCCAACCTGGAAAGCCCAAAAATATAAGAAGCTCTTTCTTCCTGAGTTCCTTGGCTACAACTTAGCTGAATGTGATTTCATAATTGGTCCGGCTCTTGTTGGCTAACACTGGTTTTGCGTTGCCATTCAGCCCAGCACATTAGATTTCCACATATTAGACTCCATGAGTGACCATTTCGGAACTAAGGATAGAAAGAAGAAGAAGAAGGTTGTCATCAAAGACCCAGTGGAAATGGCTGTAGATGACTGTGTAAGAAAAAACTCATTATCTTTACCCTAGTTTTTGAACTTGTAAAATCATTAAACTTTCTATGTTGGTCCTGAATCTTTTTGCAGAGGATGAGGTTCAATATTATATTGGACTTGGTCAAGCCAAGATTGGTTGGGAAAAAGCCAATGTCTCCCATGATATTTGCAGAAGTTCCCCAGCAGAATAACCTATCAATTTTGTCAAATTCGAATTTTGTGTGGTAAATGAACATGTCAAAGGTGTTAACTAACTATGTTGATATTATTGTGTCCACAGGAGGGATTTTGGGGTGCACTGCATGATATGGCTGAGAAGATGGGAACTTGGTGTGACCCTTACCTACACAAAGGAAGAAGTTGCTGGCTTTCGTCGTGACCTGACATGGTAGTTGGTGAATCATGAACTGAATGAAAAACGTGATGAGGCATTGGCTCTTATTCAACAACCACAACCAACCAAGAGCAGAAAGTTCAAGAAAAGGCGTCTGTCTTAGGTGTCTCGATGTTAGGCTCATAATTCACTCGTCCTCTGTTAGATCGCTATATGTAATGTGCATTGTAGGCTGACTGAAAATTTACTTTGTATTCTTATGGTTAACAGAGATTGGTGTCCATAAAGTTATGAATGTTGAGATCCATGATGCCAATTTATTCCCCAGCAACATGAATGAATCTGAGTTTAACCACACCAAAACCGATGATGACAACAACCCTATTGGATATGTGCTATTGGTTTCCATTTCTTGTTCAGGTCACTCAATTTTACTTCAATATATCCTGTTGGTAACCAACAGAAAATGACACC